AAATGTTTTCCAAACATTAAAAGCATGCTGATAATCTTCATCTTTAATGCACTCATCATGCAATTGACTATAGAAATTTGTTTTTGACGGTAAACAGGTCTCAGTGAGTTTTTCCCACGAATCAATATAATCGTAAGGAAAAACACCTTTTCTTGTTAATAAATCAAATTCTTGATCAGTGTTACAGTAAGCTCTAACAGTGGTTTTCTTTTCATTTTCCAAATAAGAAGATAATTTGTCAAGACTGCTAGCCATAAAACGGAATGAGTCGATGAATCGTAAGTGTACATCAGTACCTTCAACCGTTTTAGTAAATGAAATATATTTTTCTTTATTAACTGGTAATAACCGAATTGGACCTGCAAAACCAGTAGCTAATTGTTTTATTATAAAATTTGCATCATAACCGCTTAAATTATGAAAAACAACAGGTATATTAAATGAGTTTTGATAATTTAGATTACAATCTTGATGAGCAGCACCTCTGTATTTTGATGTAAGATGGCAATGATCGCGAACTTTGATATCTTTCGATGTAAATGGTTTGGTACATATATGACAGCTTGTTGCAGTAGCATAATTTATTTCTTGCTCGAATGATAAAGTTTCCATTTCTTTTGGATTTTTAAGAATACTATTAACATTTAATGCAATATCTTGTAGTTCTGAAATAAACCATTTTATACAATCATCTCCTCGATGTAGTTTCAGGCTTGATAAATTATTATCATATGAGCATTTCAAATAATATGCCACACTGAATGGTGTATGCTTTTGATAATTAACTGAATTGGAGTTTTCTACTCCTAAGGTTTCACACGGTTCAAGAATACTTTCAAGATCAGCATATATCACAAAAGGTACCTTTTCTTTGTAACTGAAATGTTTGAATTGTAAAATTTTGTCCGACTCCTTTGGTAATTTGAGGGCACACTTATTCATGTTATTGCAGTAAATTAAATGTCTTTTAAGTAAATCATCAGAAGTAAAATGATTTAAGCACCTATAACATATGAAAGTTTTATGTCCATGAGAAGATAATTGTTTTGAAAGTAGTGCTGACATTCTCTTTATCCATGCGAAGTGGAAAAATGTCTTATCGTTTGAGAATCCAGTAAAATTATTATTATTTTTTTCTGTCGACAGCACCAGTAAATTAATGGGTTCTCTGTCACTGTTTCTATAATTGCTTAAAGAAAGCGGAAGAACGTATTTATTTTCTATACAATACAAATTAATAGACAAGTTATTCAATTTTTCAAACTTCTTTATATCATCAAGTTTTATTGGAAACTCAATAGAATCATATTTTAGAACATCTTTAAAATGAGGATAACTTGTTTTCCTTTCAGGATGTTTATTTTTAGATGGATATAGAGCGGAGACCACAGCCCACAGAAAACAAAAGGAATCGTCATTTTCTATATTTACAACAGCTTTTTTCCGTGATATAAAATCAGGTAAACTCACATAAGTTGATGTTCCCCCTTTCAAAGGTGAAAATTTGTTAATATTGACTTTTAAATGTAAAACCTCTGAAAGAGCCCAACCTGAATCTTTTTCACTAAATTCTTCTAATTTATTTGTTAAAACATGAATTACGTTATCCCTGTACCAAGTTTTTAAATTAGTATTTATATCGATTATATGATTTTTTGTAGAAAACGTTTTCATATCAGTATCACCACTTTGAGGTTTAATAAAATTACATACTAATACAACATTAACTTTAAGCATTGATTTCTGACGATATGTTTTAATTTTCCTTTGAAAACTATTAAAGGCTTTATTTAAGAAGCATAATGGATCTTTGATACTTAAATTTGCAATTAATCCTGTACACACTCGACCATCGAAGCAAGAATCAATCGAATGCCAAATTAAATATCGACTACGTTTTTTTTCGGCAGTATTATCCTCCAAGCCCGCTCCAACTTTACTAGAAATATGTTTTAGGTGTTGCAACTTAGCTAAATAACATTTCAATAATGCTAAGTTTCCTTCTAATTTAAAAGGATTTTCGGCTTCCTCTTGATGGTTAATTCTATTTTTTATCGCTGTCTTCAACAATTTCACATTCTCTTTCACTAACTTGATTTGACTGATTATCTCTTCTTCAGTTTTTACCAATTTTACGGCTTCTCCAGTAGTTCTTACAATTGTAGAACTAATAGACGTTATGGTTTCAGGATTCATGTTTACTTTATATCACTGTACGGTCGCACTGAATCAAGGAAAACAACAGCGGCAGCAGCAGCAGCAAGAACACCGGATTAGTATGAGAAGTGTAAATATAAACTGTGCGGTTTACAGAAGAATACGAGTCATTTATATGCGCAATGCTGCTGGAAGCTTGCGCAGATGAAGTGAAACGTTAGATCGTTTTGAGGCATTCTACCACAGTTTTGCTTTTGCTGTTCTTAAATGTAACTTATTCCTTTACACTAATTCTGATTTTGAACAATACATGCTCTTAATTATAGCACTACAACAACTATGTTACAGGTAAACTAATAAAACATCCAAAAAAAAAATTTATAACTTATTTGTATATTTTGAATATTACAAGGAAAATAATGAAATTCAAGAATATATAATATTTCTTTATTACAGGTAAACCAATAAAAAAGCCAAAAAATATATAACTTACTTGAATATTTTGATTCAGATTTTGAACAAGGTATATTCTTAAATATTACATGGAAAATAATAAAAGATAAAAATATATCTTATTTCTTTATTTTTAATAAAACATCCAAAAAATGTATAACTTATTTGTATATTTTGAATATTACAAGGAAAATAATGAAATTCAAGAATATATAATATTTCTTTATTACAGGTAAACTAATAAAACAGCCAAAAAATGTATAACTTACTTGAATATTTTGATTCAGATTTTGAACAAGGTATTTTCTTTATTTTTAAAAAAACATCCAAAAAATGTATAACTTATTTGTATATTTTGAATATTACAAGGAAAATAATGAAATTCAAGAATGTATAATATTTCTTTATTACAGGTAAACTAATAAAACAGCCAAAAAATGTATAACTTAGGTACTTGAATATTTTGATTTAGAATTTGAACAAGGTATATTCTTAAATATTACATGGAAAATAATAAAAGACAAAAATATATAACTTATTTCTTTATTTTACGTATTCTAAATATAAATTGTACAATTTATAAGCATTAGCTAATGCACATGCACAACTGTCCAGCTTGTGATTCCAACATTCCGGAATGGTTGGTTTTAATTTGGGCTGTTCCGGAAGTTCCATTATCGGCTTATTTATATACTTCTTCAGGAATTCTGCTTTCTGGTTCCCTTTAACAAAAATAATTCCAGCTGTCTTGGTTGCTCCCTCAAGGATTTTAGGGAAATCTTCGAGAGATACATAACCATCATCCCATGGAATACCATGGTGAAAATTCATGACCCAATTCGCCTCCTTTTGTAGCTCTGTTGATAGCTGATGAAAGGGAAAAGGTGGCTTAAATATATAATGGTAAGAAATTTTACCATTATAAATCCCCAGTTCCTTCACAGCCCACCTGATTTCTCCTTTCTTGTTACTAATCTTGAAGGACTGAATATCAACCACGCAGTCAGAAGTCATTTTTCTAAGGATGTTTAATTGCAAATGAGTATTTCAATTCAGATACTAATATCTGCAATATGGTTCTAATGATTACGGTGGGGAGTAACGAATCCATGAAACATTATACATTATTGTATAGGCCTTAATGGAACACTTTACATAACTTAATATTTTCGCTCATCATAAATAAATAAATAGAAAATAAGATAAAAGAAATTGTTCGCTTGACTTAAGAGACGATTCCAAAAAATTTCAGTTATTCACTCGGAAAAAGTGAAAATATGACAATGTGGATATTTATGCTTTCGAGGGTGCTCTTTCAGAATTCGTGATCAGAAAAGACCAAACTCGAAAATTGAAATTGAAATTTTGAAATTTTTTTTTGGATTTTTTTAAACATGAAATGAAAGTACCTAGAATACAGTATAAAGAGTAGAGTAAGAGAATAAAGTTCAATAGATTAGAAAAATTTGGCCAATGCTATTTTCTGAAAATCGCAATAGGTAGTATGTCAAGGTCACATATTTTTTGCTTAATATACAAAAATTCAAAATGATTTGACATTCCCTAATCGACCTTGTATTAAATTATTCAAAAAATAAACCTGTAACAAAGAACCTACACATCTGAAATTTGAACATTTTTGAAAAAATTTCTGAAATCTAAAAATTAAACCAATCGTTGAATTTTTTTTTAATGCTAGCAAGTCATAGTAGAGGATGAATAGAGAAAAAATTTCATATAAACTTTATCGTCAAGCGTCGCGTACGAGGGTTAAGGGTAAAAAACGAAATATTTCTTAAACAGTTTTTTCGTTATAACTTGACTACTAAAAGGGATAGAAAGTTGATTTCTTTTTGTTATAAAGAAGAAAGAGAAAGCTTTCGAACGATGGTATAAAATTTGATTTCGCAACTAGTAAGATAATCGGAGTGGGGGTAGCTCAAAATTTTACATAAGGATGAGAGGACGCGATCTTACTTTTCGAATTCAGGGACATAAGTAATTTCCAAAAATGCAATAAAAAAAAATAAGCGACTAAAAAAAAAATTATATATGTANTTCGGATATCAACGCTATAATAAATTCTAACGAAAACGAGCCAGTTAAAGTTGTATTAAATAAAGTTTTGTGGAAAATGCGTCATATATCAGTGTCAGATGTGGAAAGGTTGAAATTGGTTGACTATGTAGCTAGGAAAAAGGAATTGGTAGTTCCATTTAGGGGTTGGGAACGACATGAGTATCCTCTCCTACAAGAAACTTAGCGTCACACTTGGAATATCAAGACTGCAACACAACTTGAGAAACCTAGATTTGTAATTGTAGGATTCCATAGTAATCGTAAAAATAAATTGAATAGAAATTTTAGTCAGTTTGATCATTGCAATTTAATCAATATGAAACTGGCCCGATGACTCCTCCAGCGTGAACAGCGCACCATGCAGTTACTTTGAGCGGGTGTGATGGCTCCTCGTGCATCACTCGTGGATTTTCGGTGCCCCAGAAGCGATAGTTTTGCTTGTTCACGTACCCGCTGAGGTGGAAATGAGCCTCATCGCTCATTATGATTTTGCTCGAAAAATCGTCCACTTCGTCCTCGAGATTGAGGATGGCTTGGGCGTAGGTTACACGCGTTTGGCGATCGACAGGCAGCAGCTGATGCACGGACTGGACTTTGTACGGCAACATGCGCAGGTCTTTGACCAAAATTCGCCTTAGGGACGACCGGCTGATGGCTAATTGCGAGGCACGGCGTCTGGTCGATGTTTCTGGCGACAGCTCGACATCCTCGGCAACAGCGGCGATATTCTCGGCAGAACGGGCGCTCCGGGGCCGGCCACTCTTGGCAGCGTCTCGTGTGGTCCCATACTCTTCAAGGTTGGTGGCCAAACGGCGCAGTGTTTGCGCAGTCGGTGCCGGACGACCGGGGAATCGGCGACGGAATTCGCGCTGCGCCAACACCACAGACGAATTGTTACGCAAAAAAATAGACACGATTATTCCGCGTTGTTGGGGAGTGTATCGCTCCATGGCTTGTTCACTTGTATTCTACATCTGTCTAGTTCACAAATGTCAAAACAGATTTGACATTGGCCGCCATTTGCAAAAATAAGAGCATCTTCCAATAGGGTGATTTCTTTTGGCCCACCTGTTATAAGATTTCTGTTGCTCATAAATCTTTCAACCAATTAAATAAATTATTTACACCTTTAAAAAGTAAAACTCCTATTTTAAAAAATTCTCACGTTGTATATTCTATTCCATGTAATGATTGCAATAGTCAATATATAGGTATGACTTCACAAAATTTAGAAAACAGATTAAAAGGCCACAAATATACAAAAAACTATTCTACTGCTCTTAATAAACATATGAAGGTAAATAACATTCTTTTAATTTTAATAAAACTAAAATTTTAGTCAAAGAACCTAATTACAATAAAAGACTAATTCAGGAAATGATTTACATTAAAAAAAATAAAAATAGTGTTAATGACAAAACTGATATAAGAAACCTAAGTCAGATATATCACAATTTAATTAAATAAATGCTACTGTTTTCTAATAATTAATAATATGGTTCATTTATTGGATACACTTTAATTTTTTTTTAAATTATGTTTTCTTCTGTTTCTCGTTGGTTTACAACAAATCTCCTAGATGTCTCTGATATTCACTTCTTTCATTTTATTTCTACAAAAATTTGCCACCATTCGGACAATCTGTTTGAATCGTTGTTTTTGCTCTCACTCGATATCAGTACTTCCACATATCTGTATCGTGGTTCCTAAATTAATAGTTTTCACACATAAAGTTTAAATTATGATGATGTTCAACACAAAAATTAAATGCAAAATAAAAATGAATAACAAAAAAGTTCTCCTGATGCAACTGTTGTTTTAAAAAATTTTGGTTTTTCTTTTCTTTTATATTATACATGGAGTTGGTTGCTCTTAGGTATGTATTAACAAAAAAATTATTGTAAAAATTAAAATGTAATGCATGTTAAAATTGTAAATCATTAAGTTGTTTTATATTTTCAGGTTTTTAGTGTGACTTGTACAAAATAATGTGTTTTATTTGAAAAATAATCTTTGAAAAAATTCCCGATCGGGAGCGAAACGTTAGAATTTAATAAAAAATTATTGCTGTGTGTTTTTTATCATTTTGACCAGCGGTCAAACTAGAACCTGATACCTAAGAAAAATAATTCCCAAAAATTGTTAATATAAAGATTCTGAATATAAATAAATAACAATTAAGGATATCACATAGTATAAAATTGATAATTTTAAATTTAATTCACAAGTACAAAATAAATTTTTCAAAAGAATGCATGACATCGACACTTGTTAACACTCAGTACATTGAGAAAACAGAATTTAAACCTAGAGTGACATATATCAAATAAAAGCCAAATATCTATAGATGAATATGGTATACATATCATGGGAAGACGAGTAACTGTATAGAACAGGGGTCGGCAAGTAATATTAGATGGGGTCCGGATACTTTTGAAATTTTTTAATGAGGTCCAGAAAAAAATTCATATTTCTTACTAATTTTTTATTTCCATTTGCATTAAGAACTCAAATCAGTCACAATTGTAAAATACTAGAAAAAATGGTAAGGGTGGCACTCAAACGTAAAAAAAATAATTTTTAAATAATAATTTATTTGAGTAATTTATATTTTCAAACAATTTTTGGCGGTCCAGTATTTTACCTTCCATGGTCCGGATCTGGACCGCGGTCCGCCAGTTGCCGACCCTTGGTATAGAAGATATATCAATGGAACTTAAGTCATAGTATGAAAATTTTATCAATTGTCAAATTAAAATATAAATTTTCACAAATGTCAAAACCAAAGTTGGCTTTTCAAGTACCTGGAGATCACCTATATAAAAAACATATAATAAGGAATATTTTAATAATTAGTGATAAAATTGTACGTTAAATTAAAAGGACATTTGCAAAAAATGTATTAGTTATAAGGGGTGTAGTGAAAAGTGTTGTTAAAAAAAGGACATCCAAGGACTTGAAATTTTGTGAAGGGACCTTAAGAAAAATTAAAACCAAAAAATTCTAGAAAGGATGAGAAACAAAAGTTTGTTGATTGGTTACGGCTTGGGTTTTGAAGAATGCAGAGAGTAAAGAAGCAGCTCCACAAAATTTAAATTTACTAAAGAAAGAATAGTCAAGTAAGAAAATTAAACTTACCAGAAAAGTTAAAAGTTTGTTTGTTATTGTAGCATTTAAAATTACTTCCGCCAGAAAAGTACTTAAAATTTGTAAAATCATATTAATTACTTTATGAATAACTAATTTTACAATTACAATGTAATACGGTAGCAGAAAAATTAAAATACTTGATAAGTAATATTGTAGAATTTAATGGAACATACTTATACAGGTAATGGTAACAACAATATAAAAAAAAATATATTATCTATATTAGTATACTACAACTTTAAATAAAAGATGTCGTAGGTGCATTTGTTTAAAACTGGTTCACAAGTTATATGAATCCATATATTTCTCCAGTTTACGGTAATTTACCTACCTACCTACAACAACAAAAAATTGGGTTAATTACTAATTACCTAAATACTAAATACTTACCATCAAATAAATCTTCTTATTTAGCAGTCCCATTATGGTATTTTCTTTTCCCATTCTTCAGATATTGAGTGTCACATATATCTACTATTTGTATTTGTATTTCTGGTTGCCGAGATCATCAATCCTTTATTCCGGAAATGTTACCCCCACCAAATTAAAGTACTTCCGTGGTACCAGAACCTTCGGGTTCTCAGAAAATCGAGCGGGGAGTTAAATTTTGGTAGGCGATGGGATAAGGTGTGCTGGTTATTAACTACCAATTTTCCTACATTTGGGGATTTGAAATTGCACACGAAAAATCCACGCCATTCACTCCTCGATGTCTACTGATAGCAGGCCCGGTCTGGCTCTTTCAGGGGCCGTCGGGAAAAAATCGAAATCGGGGCCTATTTGGTTTTGTCTGTTATCATATCGACTCTGGGAAGGAAAACTGTCGTATCTCAAATTTGGTTATACTGAGATAATTGCATTTGAATAGTTGAGAAAATAATAGTGTTCGTTATTTTTTTATTACAAGAGCTAAATCGTTCTTCTTTAATAAAGTAATTATTATTTAGGTCTTAATTAATTGTTGATGATCTAAATAAAATAGTTTAGGATAAGAGAAAAATGGATTTTGAATGAGTTACTACAGTTTTAGTCGACAAAATTTTTATTGTGAAACAACTTGCTACACTAATTAGGTACAGAAAAATTAAACAATTTCTATTTTTAGATAACAAAATAATTGTTAATAATCAATAATGACATAAAAGGAAAATTTATTACGATTCAGAGTCAGAGTCATCTTGGTCAATATTACTTTCTTCCTGGTGGTCAGTCTAGCAGGCCGAAGGGAGTTGTAAAATCCACGACACATCGGTGGTATCAAATTAGCCGTACACAGACCCAAAAGACCGCTTAATTTTTTACCATCAATTGGCAGCAAACCTTGATACAAGTCTAGTTTGTAAGTCTCGTTCTTTATGATTTTCTCCAAAATTATACACAAAAAATACTTTATTGGGAGACTTTGGATCGCATGGATTTCTCTGATTTTGCTGATTTATACAGCCTCTCCAGTAATATCTTTTTTCAAGTTTTATTTCTTTACCATCTTCACCAATTTTTTGCAAAGCGGCGCTTACAACTGTTTCAGAAAATGCAAGCGTATTTAAGAACATCGTTTTGCAAGTTGGTTTCTCATTATTGTTAATGACAAACTTATAATTGCGAGAGAAATTCCTTTTGGTGTATTTATTATGTACAGTAACCTGCTCTTTTTCTCGTTGTGTCACCCACCTTACAAGAAAATCCCACTGCAGAGTATGATCTCCAAGGTTCCAAAATTCGTCAAAAATGACTTTTCTAGCTTCTTCATTTATTTTTTTTGTTGCATTTATCCCTGCAAGTTTATTTACAAGGTGATTTCATTACCTTTGCAAAAATAAGTTTGTCTATACGATTTTTATGTAATAAAAATTTCATTCAAATTTTAATTTATAAATTGATTGTGTTTCACTAACGCAGCGTGCAACGCGCAAACGCGGCAGACATGACAGAAGCTATTTACATGCTGCCATCTGGATCGAGCTTGCAAGGCAAACTCTCCCATCTATTTGCAGCTCAAATTAAAGCTTATTAGTTATTTCAAGCACCATCTTTAAAATATTAAAAATATACGTTTAATATGCTTGCCCTTATAGTACTTATTCTGTTTTTAAATAATTTTTTTTAACAGAAAAAAAACTCATTGGGATAGGTGACTTTCAATCGTCATTTCTCAGGCTCCAGTACAATCTACAAATATCTATTTGCAGTTCAAATTAAAGCTCATTTCAAGCGCTATGCCGCTATCTGTATGAATATAAGTATACTTACCACTGCAGTACTCATGTCATTTTCAGAGATTTTATTTGCGTTACAGCTCTATGGCCTACGTCCAAGCTATTATTGGTTTTAAAATTATATTAATATAGGTAATAAACTTAAACCTATCGACTCAGGATACAGGAAATCAATAATAGTTTGAACATAGTCCGAGGGATTTAAAAAATTTTAAAGCTCTTGGTTATTATTTATATTCTCATTTTTTTTTCCGGGCACATAACTTATACGGCTATAGAGTAAAGGGTTATTTTAAGGTTAAAAGACTTACAGTTTGGGACATATTAATTTCTCTCGTTTTTCCCCCAAGCTCACGGCTTATAGATAAAGCAGTTATTAGTTTAAAGGGCTTACGATTTGGAATATATATTTATTTCTCCCTTTTTTTCCTGTAGGTACACTGTTTATAGGGATATAAGGCAAAATAATAAAATTTGTGTTATTTTTTTGACCTGGGAAAATCTCATTTCTACAAACGATTCAATTTTCATTTTTACGTTCTTCTTTTTTCTTTGCAATTTACGGTGTCTATATCTCAAGAATTTACAAAAAATTTTCTTATAGTTTTGGCGCCTCACTAGTCGTTTGGGGCCTATCTTTCAAAATAAATCGGGTTTTGCCGACTGCC